AAATATGACTGTCAATCGTTCACGCCTCAGTAGTTAGATACGTTGTGACTAATTGTCGTATTGTAATGGTAATCACTGAATTATTTTATTGATAATTACTTTGTAGCTTAGATAATAATATATACTACATTTTTTCCAAGACGGGTAAAACGACATTTCGATGCGCAAAGGGTTACCTACCATTTAAGTAAATATTCTATATATATATAAAATCGATGAATATTCTAACGACGAATATTGATTAACATTACGCAATGGCCGAACTTGTGTCTTATAAATATAATTAAGATTTATAAAATATAAAAAAAAACCGTATAAGTAATATATTTATTTATTTATTTATTTATTTTAGGGAGATTAACAGCTAAATTAATACAAATAAGTGATAATATTACAAGTTACAATGCTAATTATAAATCTCCACAAATAGCTTAAAAAATAATGTAAGTAAGTTTTGGTAAACAGCAAAATAAAATAAAATAAATTAAGAAAAACCAAGATTACAACTTCAATAAACGAATACACTACCAAATGCTAAGCAAAATTAATTTTTAAAGTAACATTGAGTCACACAAAGGAAAGAGAAAACATTAATTAACTATAGGAAGACAAGCAGATGCAGGAAAGAGAAAAATGTAAATAATAGCAATAGTGAGAACAATAATAATAATAACATAATATTAACACAAAACACACAGTTTAGCCAACCGCACAAAATAGAGCTAGTAAACTTAATTTTTAAAATATTGTTTAGTAAGTAGACGCCGAATCGAGTCGACGCTGGTACTAAATATATCAATATCAGTATCCAAGGACGATTGGTTGAACTCATTTACTGCTCTGACAAGAAATGAATTTTGTCGGTAATTAGTCCTCGCATTGGGTACACTAAATACCGAGTGATGCCTTAAACTCAACAGGTTAGTTCTAAATGATACCTTTGACAATAAATTTGATGAGTCAACTTTACTGTTCACTATTTTAGAAAGAAAACAAATGTCATTCACTCTTCGCCTAAAATCGAGAGGAACAAAATGATAACGCTTACAACGCACTACATAGCCTGAAGTTTGCTGCTTCGTTTTGAAATCCAAATACCTTAAGAATTTTTTCTGAATTCAACACGTGATTTATAAACTTCGTATCTGGGATTCCACACTTGAGAAGCATATTCAAGGTGACTACGTACAAGAGAACAATAGAGTACCTTTATAGGCTTAATGTCAGAAAAATCACTACAAGTCCGCATCAAAAATCCCATGGCTGTATATGCTTTAGTAACAATACTATCGATATGTTTGTCAAAGATCAATTGGGAATCAAAGTACACGCCAAGATCCTTAACATTGTTCACCCTATTAATGAAACTCCCCTGAACACTATAACCTTCGCTGATAATATCTCTTTTACGAGAGTAAGATACAACAAAACACTTAGACACATTTAGATCTAATTTATTGCTATGACAACAAGCTACAAACCGATCTAGATCACTTTGTAGCTCTTGTGCATCTTCAATTGATAGTACTCTCTTAAATATTTTCATATCATCTGCATAGAGTAATATTTCAGAGTTACGGAAGCATAATTGAATGTCATTAACAAATATGGTGAACAATAACGGGCCCAGCAAAGACCCCTGGGCCACGCCCGAGGGAACAAAATTCCAGTTAGACTTGTAACCCAACAGTACCACCGCCTGACTGCGTCTGTCGATGTACGAAGAGAACCATCTGAACAGGTCACCATGCACACCGGCAATCGACAGCTTAGCAAGTAAAACTGAATGGTCAATACGGTCAAAACATTTACTAAAGTCAGTATACAGAACGTCTACCTGAGCCCCAGCCTCCATACCTGCAGATATAAGGTCAGCGGCCTCAACTAAATTTGTCGTTGTGGAACGGTTACTAAGAAAACCATGCTGACATTCACTGAAGGAAGTCTTTAGAGCAGCATACAACTGTCTATAAACTAGTTTTTCAAAAATTTTAGCAATGAGACAAAGCTTAGAAATTGGTCTATAATTCTCAATATTGTGCTTGTCTCCTTTTTTGTGTACAGGAGTAATGAACGCTGACTTCCAAATTGTAGGCACGACTCCTTCACCAATTGATCGTTTAAATATTATTGAGATTGGTACTACCAGTGAATCAGCACAGTTTACAAGAAGGACAGCTGGAATAGAATCTGGTCCCTCACCTTTGGATAAGTCGAGAGATTTCAATAGTCGCAAGATTTCAGACGAGCATACCTCAACAGAGGATATACTGCAACCAGAACTTCCATACACACTTGATACGTTGCTTGAGTACTGAGTATTGATATTATTAGAAGAAAAGTTTGTTTGAAAATACGTGGCAAATAGGTTACTAATAGCCTCACCTGTTGAGGCAGTTGTGTCATTATATTTTACATTATTAGGAACAGATGATGATTTGTATTTACTCTTGACATAAGTCCAGAAAAACTTTGGATTTTGAACAATAGAAGATTGAACAAAAGAGATATAGGAAGAATAGCAATTCCGTTCCATAACTTTTGCACGTTCTCTTAATAGGGAAAATGAATGATAATCGGCCAAATTATTATAAGTTGTATATTTTTTATGATATTTGTATTTCTCCTTGAGAAGCTTAATCAAAGATGAATTATACCACGGAGGATATTTACTAGGTGTACACATTTTTTTAACTATATATTTATCTCTTAACTCATATAACTTATTATAAAAAACGTCAACAGCTTGATCCAAAGGGATGGCAACAGAACCACATAGCAATGACCAATCAATGTTACAAATTTCAGAATTAATTTTCGCATAATCAGCATTAGAATAAAGGTACTTTATTGATGATTTTTCGGTAAGTCCGCCAACTTGTATAAATTCAGCTCTCAAACAGAGAGATTTATGGTGTACATCCTCAGGGACAAGTGGAGAGGCACATGAAGACACGTGAATGATGTCATTAGATAAAGCAAGATCCAATACACGCCCCAAATGATTTAATTCACCATTATATTGACTTAAACTACACGAATGCATTGTATCAATGAAATCAATGATAGTCTTATTATATTGATTTAACGCGGGCGAATAATGTAAATCATCAGTAAGACGAGTCCAAGACACGTAATCTTTAAAATTAAAATCACCTAAAATTATAAATTTATCAAGAGGATGCGAGATAATTAGTTCATTTAGCTTATTTGTAAAATTATACAATTGTGTGTTATGCGATAGACCCATTCCATCATCACAAAGATAAAGAGTGCAAATATGAAGAGTACCAGAGCCCACAGAGCGCTTACTACTAATACTAACCGAAAGCCAAATATCCTCAGCCGAACTACGCCACTCAGGCCTCTCAGTAACCGTTAGATCACGCCGCACTGCTAAAAGTACCCCTCCACCTTTTGATTGACAAGTACGAACATAATCACGATCACGCCTCCACACAACATATCTTGAATCAAATAGTTCAGAGTCATTGATGCCATCGATCAACCAAGTCTCGGTTAACGATATAATATCATACGAATTTAAATAAACATTTCTTAAAAACGTACTGGTCTTAGTACGCAAGCCTCTAGTATTCTGATAATATAAATTAAGTCCAAACATTTTTGGGGGTATAAACATAAAAATAAAAATAAAATTATCATTGTCACAGCAACAATCAAATATACAAAACAAAAAACATCTAATACTGTTACAAACTGTATGTGCTGTTTGCATACTATATACTTATTGATGACTGTAGAAACTACTAGAAACATTCTGTGGATACGAGACGAAACAATAAAAAACGCAAGTAGGTAGTAGCGTACGACAATGAATAAAACTATAAGCGATAATGGCGAAAAGTGAATACAAAAGCATACGATCAATATAGAAAATAACTTAGTTACAATATAGTACCATTGCAAATAATAAAAATTATGTAATGTGTGTGCATAAGTTGGCATAAAGCTGTATGTAATTAATAAGTATTTCTTACCTGCATTTGCTCGGACATTCAAATTCATTTCTGCGGTTCTCAAACTCTTTGACGTGTAACTTAAAAATTGAAATTTATAGAATACTTTATACATTACTTTTGATAAAGTGACAGAGGAAACAAAAATAGATAAATTGTTCATAAACAATAAAAGAATTACTGCGACGAATTTTTTGAAAGGTCTTTGGGTGTTCTTATAGTTATGATAGGAGAAGAATCGTTTTTTCGAAGGAAAATTCTTGCATTCTTCACCCAAGTGTACTGAAACCCCTGTTCTTTGCCCAGCTTCTTGGCGTTTGTTAATAGTGTTTTATTTTGAATAGTAAGATGATCATTCACATATATGTTAGAACGACCTTGTAGGCCCAGCTGAGATGGCACAATTGGAGATGTTTTAATTGCTGCTCTGGCCGCTGCTATAAAATCTTCTTTTACATATCTATTGTTAAAGCAGACAATAACAGGTTTAATGTGGTCCGGGTCACGTGTCTGGACACGCGTTGCAAAGTTGAGCTGCGTCTTAGACAATGGGTATTGGATCTTGTTACCCAGTGAGCACACTAAGTCCAGTAGGTTTTCATTCTTGTTTTGGGGAATGCCCTTCAACTCGATGTTGTTCATGCGATCCCATTGTTCCTTTTCATTGAGATCTTTTACAATTTTTTCCACTTGGGATTTCGTAGCGGCCTGTTCAGTCTTTGCATTCTCGAGAAGTTTTAAACGGCTTTCAACCTTAGTGAACCTTGTTGAAAATTCCTTAATGGTGTTTTCAGTAGCCTCTGCTGTAGTCTTCAGTTCAGAAAGATCCATACATATTCATACAGTTTTTTTACATGTATTTATTTATTTATTATGTGCGTAGGTAATGTTTATTATACATGTGTATTAAGTATGTTTGTGCTATATTGTGTTTTTTATTATAGAATATAAATCTGCCATTTGTACAGTATTCAATTGTGCAAAAAAGATTAAATAAATAAATAACTTTACGCGGCACAGGTATCGGGTACAGCCGTTGTCCGCCACCGTCAAAAGTGCAGTACACAAAGGACAGCTGTCGTGACGATTATGACTGCAAACATGGTAAAGTGTGCTGTATGGGCGTCGCCGGTCAGAAAGTGTGTACGGAGTCTGGTGGCATGCAGTACGACCGCTATTCCTGTAAGTATACTTGCTCATTTCATACACATGAGATCATATGTCAGGAATGCTTTTACTATATGGGAGTCATTAAATAATCTCAGTACAGTGTACTAAAAAAACCGACTTCAAAAGTTCTTGGAATGACATCTATTTCCCAAGTTTTATTGAAATCGATTACCGGAAAGTACGCAACACCGGATTCATCATCAAACCGTCGGGTACGCCGTCTCCCGATTATTCAGGAGATGGTAAAACTTTGCATTTATTTTAAATTTCTTACCAATTTGGAATAGATAATAAGTAAAGAGTAGGTAAAAGCCCGTGTGTGAATATGAAGGAAATGTGACGTTAAATCAGCTTGTAAAATTTGTAAGGTAAATGCCCCAGTGGTTGACGCATTTAGACGGAAAATCGCGTATTTTGCCAAAAAAGTACTTAATTATCAGTCATACTGACTACCTAGGTATGTTAACATATTAAACGGTTTGTCATTTATCTTCTAGGAATTATAAAATTTAAAATAATCATTGACATTATTTTATTAATACATTCCAGTTTTCCACTAACTCTAAAATTGTACCAGTGTATGACAGGCAAAATTTCTAATGTCCCAATAGTTGACTATGGCACAGTGAGATCGGAGTACCAGTATTTGACAGGACGTTATGTTAAGATTTCATAGTTATTTAAACGCATTAATCACTTCAATAATTTAAAAAAGAAGAAAAACCATAATCAATGGACATGCTTTTATTAAAATTAATAAATACTGACTTACCTTTGTAGCCAAGGTAAGTGCGTGCAAAAAACATACAAAATAGAAACTAGAAATAGAAAATATACGGATGTAACAGAAAGGTGTAGTTATATTAAAGGACCCAAAAGCATGCGTATTTCATCCAAAGTCTGTGCAACATTTCAAATAAAGATGAGTTACTAAAATGTTGATATAAATTGAATAAAATTTTATGTTAGTAAAATTTTATACAGTAAAATAATTCGCGGTATCCCATATTTTCTCGCAGCTGCTGCGATAGGAATTCATCTTGATACTTCGTCTACCGCCTTCACTGCTTCATCATCAGAATAAGGCGACAGCCTTAGTAGGATTTTTTCATTGAACAATACCCGTAATCAATAGTTGACACTAGTTACGCCCTAGTGTTTGACACCTCAATGTACAACTGTCAATTATTGGGTCCCAATAGTAAAACACTACTCAAAGTACCCATAGAAACTTGTCACTAACAGAGTAATCCAAACTTATGTTCTCCGTCCTTACCAAATGGTCGAAACATCGAGTATATAACCAGAAATAGAGACGAAATGTCATTTAATTTGTTTGAAAACTATTCTGCCATATCATTACTGTGACAACTGCGCTCCGATTGGCTAGCCTGAGTTCGAAACAATTGACGGGTGTCGTCAATGGGTGTCGTCAACTGCTTCACTTCAAATCAACCAGTTAACTTTAGCTTTGCAATAATGGACGGAAATTGCAAAATACATGTTTAATATTTAATTACCGATGAAATGTGATTCCGTTTGTTTTGTAATTAGATGGTTTGCTGTTTTTCCCACATCACCGAATAGAACAGCACGGCACTGTTAGAGATATTATCTTTATTACAATAAATACAGAATATTTTTTGGAATATCCGGAGACGTACACACAGGTCAATAGTTGGCCTGTTTATATTTCAGTGCAAACGAGAATTGATATTTATAAGAGCTGTATCGCTAATGTGTTACCAGGAATATATGGCCCTTATTTCGTCTCCATTTCTGGTTATATACTCGATGGGTCGAAATTAAGTTTAAAAAAAATATTCATATATATACGAATGCTTGACATGGGTGTCAACTACTAGTAAACATTAAAATTTTGCACCAGTGTTTAACATGCCTCTAAAATAAAATATAAACGATATACATCAAGTACACACAAAATTAGTTGTTTTTACAGTTATCTAATAGTTTTAATAAACACTTAACGGTAATTAATAATATTCCGCCTGATAAATTCACTTAAACTACTGAAAGTCTTAACGGTTTCCATAACAAGAGCGACCCACGTTACACTCCGATCACCTGCTCGCAAAGATTTTCGCCATAATCAAAAATTATTGAATTAATCGATGAAAGCTTTTAATTTAAATTCATAGATGTCGTTACTAGTACATTTAACACGGTTTTGGAGTAATATCAATATTTATTTTCTTATTTTTTGAGAAAACAATGCAAAAGTGTCGTACATTGGGACAGTGTCAACCACTGGGACATTTACTACCCAATTCATTTCTTACATTTCAGTAACTTTGTACTTTAAGATACGAGTTCTAGAAAGTGAGGCGACGATAGGTGAAGTTACGTCAAAAATATTTATAGCTCCATTAGATATAGAAAAATATTACTCACATCTTTTCCAATTCTTGTAACTCTATCGACTGATATTGTCTATATTAGTTACTACTTACTACGTATTTTCTTAGCTTAGCTTTGCATGTAACTGGGATCTAAGCTAGCTAAGTTTGTTTAACTTAACCATTAAGTCTTTTTTGTGGAAATAAATTTGGCATAGTAAATTTTTTGACGTTGACAGCGTTCGAGTTTTGTGCAACTTTACTAATACGTTGGTGGATAGACCAAACCTTGGATCTTTTCTTTTTTTTTTTGGCTTTCATGTAATAAAAGTACTTTTGACGAAGAATAAGTAATGCCATGACTACGTCGGCATTTAAAACTACTAACAATGAAAATTTTTACTAAATGATTCCAGCGGGCGCTCGCAATGAATACTGCGGCGGGCGCAAATGCACTCTAAACGAGGAGTGCCGTGAGGACCCGCGTACGCGCATGAAGATCTGCGTACAGAAGGGCAAGCGGTTCGTTTAGCACGCAACTGTGCGCGCGCGCATATTTCTAAGCTGCTTTGACATCTGGTGCGGACACGAGTGTTGTCAGTTCAGTGCTTTATTTACGAATTCCGTCATCATAAATGTTACCAGATAGCAATTGCGAGACTTTTCTTTTGTAAAATTTTGCCTTTATGAACTTTTTATGTACAATGTACTTTGTGTTGCGATCATGGTTTTAACCGTATTTAACTATAACTGTTTAATAAGAAATGTTTTTGTTTATGCCATAACTAATTCATGTTAAATAGTAATGTACTCGTAAGTAGATAAGTCCGTGTTAAATCATTTGCAGGTTTCTCACGACGATATGACTTCTTATTTTTCCGATATATCGTAGTGAGGAACCTGCAATTAGTGATAATCATTTAGTGAATAACCACGAAAGCTGTCGTTACATCAGGGTATTTCTATTATCGATATAAATAACTATAAGTTTCACGCCTGGTAATATTCAGATATAACGACAAGTAATTCTTAATATATAGTGTCATATGAGGGTTGAGAAATTCTGTTCTATTGGTAATTCTATTCTTACACATCCTCAATTCCTTCCTTACAAGCCTCCACAACCACACCTTACAGCTTGCCCACATCACCATCACGTTTCTAGCCCCCAGTCATTCCCTCAGAATGAGTGGGTTTCAGTTCTGTTCTGATACGAGTTCTAGTTCTACACTCACCTCCGATTGCTCCATTGGAACAGCCGGAGCTTCCTTCTATAAGTTCTATTCTAATACGTCATCAGCTCTTAATAATATTCATTGGACTTACATGATTTTTATGTTCGATGTCGCTTCTCCGAGTTCGTCACTTTTCTCTCCTTGAATAAAACTCCCGCTCTCCCGCTAGACACGTGGGCGCTCAAAAATCCGGCTTCTCCTGACACTGTCAATTTTTTAAACTCACCATTATTTAACATGGCTGCCAACATTGACATCATTAATTCTGTTCAGAAACTTACCTGATTTCATCGAAGCTCGCGTTTGTCGCGACAAAAGCCTTAAAATTTATAAGCCTATAATGTTGTTTTATAGTAAAAGTATAAAAGCAAAAATGAATGTGCTAAAATTACTTATCTAGGTACTCCCACCGTCACTTGCGTGGTTACCTGTCAAAAGTAAAAAAATACATTTGTCTATTTCACCAGCACCCCTATCCTTCAAAACTGGAATGCAGTAATGCCAACATTACTGCTTGGCGGCAGAAATAGGTAAGGTGGCAGAACTTCCTTGAATGAACTTTTTCATAGAAGCTCTACTGCTACTGATTAATTGTTAGAAAGTAAATCAAAAACATTAACACTTAAGATACAAATTAATAATAACAAAACAAATTACTAATAAAACAAAATAGTTATTTGTTACAAAGTTGTTTTGTTGTATTGTATTTATTGTATATATTTATATAAGTTGTATTGCTTATATTGAAACCTGAACAAGCGAAGCAATCGAAAATTGTAAATAGACTCCTGAGCGTAGCGAGGGTTTCAAGACACGAGATGCAAAACAACTTTGCTGCCGAGCGAAACACATAACTTTTCACCTCACTATAGCGAGAAAAATGGTAGATGAAACAAAAACAGTTGAATTATAACAAATCATAGGAAATGAAACTATTTTTCCAGATTTAAATCGTGTATATTTGTTTTTTCAAACAAACCAACTTTTCGGGCCAATCGTGACCATGGACCTGTAAAGGGCATTTCCTATGTGTAATAATCGCGAAAACTCAAGAACTCGATATACAACAAGCCAGTTTTAATAAACAAAGTATTGTACAAATACAATATACCAACGTATTTATATTACATGAATAATGTACGACACGTTGAACGTCCCATTATGTTTTTTTTCATCGAAAGAAAAAGTTAGGTGCAATACAGTCCATCGTCAAGTTCGAATTCCAAACCCTTTTCCACACTAGCGTGGAAAAAACGCTTTTGCGCGCAGATTTCTAATGAGGAAGAAAGCATTAACGAGCTAGTGAGGTGAAAAGTAAATTAGACCAAAGATTATTTACAGAAACATAAATGAAAACACTTGTAAAAGATACCAGCAACAAAACACAATAATTAACGTAACAAAACATAATAATTAACATAATAATAAGTAACAAAATCTAATAATTTATAAATTAAATTTATTAAAACATAAACAAAACCTTTCATTATATTTTGGATGCTTACTTATCCCAAAGAAAAAAGTAGGCTTGGTTAGGTTTAATTTATATGTACTTTATTTTTAAAAAAGATTGTCGCGGAAAAGTACTTTAGGGTTTATAAAAACTCGAGCAAACGCCTACTGACTTTCATACATACAATTCCGACAATAAGAAACTAGGTAACCTTCGCGTTTTTGTGTGATCGCTGAGAGAGCAAAAAATGAGGGTTTACCCTCCGCCTTGTGGCTGCGAGGGTTGTACAAGGCGGTACCCACCGACTGTGTGTTCAATAGTGCCTCCGCGCCACCCGTCACGAGAGGGCGATCCTCGCCGCGATAAAGGCAAAACTAAGGAAAAAACCGATCGAAACAAACTACGATACATTGTGAATAACAAATTATTTCTTGAAGAGTTATAAGTGAAATGTGCTATTCTACATTTCAACCTTAGTTACTAAACAGTTGCATACGTTGTAATGTGATATTTTGGCACAACCCGATATGACGAAAAATTGGTAAATATAATAATAACGTCCTTATGTTTAAACGTATTAAAATTAAACGCACTGACAATAACAATAAAAAAAGATACTTTGAAAGATTTTCGAACTACTTTATGGTTTTTCTACAAGTTTATAAAAAAACTACTGCTAGATTTCTTGAAATAGTATTATTGTTCAAACTCTCAGTTAACTTAAGATACGATAATAGAGTATAGATTTTTCTTATATACTTAATTTAACTTGAAAACTTTGGTTTGTTAATTAAACTATAGATTAAGCATGAAATTAATCATTATTTCCTAATATCTTACATACATTTTGCAATTTCATAAACATTATTTAAAAGTTGCAATGTATTTTTGTACAGAGTTAAAATTTAATCAGAAAATTATAAAAAGTTAATACAAATAAATATATACAAATACAAAATACAAATACAAAATGCTTTATTTCTCTCAGAAAGGTCTATAAGTAGTTACATTTCATATATAATAACAAGTTCCTTAGTGAGAGCTGGAGTCTGTACTAGGTTGGGGATCTGTGTTACAGATCTCCAGGCTCACTCCCTCTAGGTGTATACAGAACGTAACATTATTTAAAAAATATATAATTACTTTACAAAGTAAAGCGTAGCATATAACAAGAAAACAATGTGTATTTGTGCGTAAGTGCGTACGCGAGTGTGTACGCGAGTTGTGTGTAAGTACCCGCGAGTTGCATGTGTATGTGTGAATATATATGTGTATGTGTATGCGTGTGTGTGTGTGTGTGTATGCGTGTGTGTGTGAGATTTAAACCTAATCCGGTACGATAAGCAGTTTTTCAGTCCACTCATAGTCGAGAGTGAATAGCCAGTTTGTAATAACTTTCTTACATTTCGCTCTGCACAAAGGGTGAATATTAAGAACAGTGTTAATTTTATTACAAATGTAGCCTCCCAGAAAATAAATCTGACGCTGTGCAAAACTAGTGAAAACTGTAACTGAAGGACAAACAGTGTGTTTACGTCTAATAGTGTTGAGTTTATTAGAGTCATAGGGGATTTTAGTGTGCATGGTAAAAGCTATTCTAAGGACAAACAGCTGCCGTATTGAAAGGACCTCACAGGTTTTATAGAGGTCCGAGGTCGGATATCTGAAGGGTAGGCTCCAGCCCACCTTGAGAATCGCATGTTGAGTGCGTTCCAGCTTAAGAAGTTGCGACCTGGCAGATCCCCCCAAGCAGTGATACAGTAAGAAGTGTGGGATTGACAGAGTGCCAAATACACAAGACTCAAAACTTTCACATCAGCAACGTGGTGGAGATTTTTAAAAATGAACATGAATTTGCGTAACCTCAGGGTAAGACTGTCAATATGATAGCTAAAGGTAAGGGTGCTATCTAGCTGACTACCCAGGTACTTGAAATGGTGAGTGCGGGCTAAAGATGGACAGGAACAGGAGTCTTGAGAAGAGGCAGAGCACGAATGAGCAGTTATAGAGAACAAAGAGGAGGGTGAGAGACCTCGGCTTGCAAGTGAGAATGTCAGATACATAGTTTTTTGCACATTGAGGGTAAGGAGGTTGGTTGTTAGAAAGCCACGTGGAAACCAAACTGGAGCCCACTTGCGCATAGTTAAACGCAGACTCCCAAGAATCGCCATAGAAAACTAAGGTAGTAACGTCGGCGTAAGTAAAGATGAAACCGTTGTTTAATTGCATATTACAGAGGTCGTTAATATATGCTAAAAATAAGGTGGGGCCACGAATACTACCTTGGGGCACACCGTTCAGAACCGGAACGCGATACTCACATTACTGCTTGGCGGCAGAAATAGTCAGCTATTCTCACATTCTGCGTCCTCAGCCTAATTACCGTAGCCATTGTTTTTTCTCGCTTAATTATACCCAATAACATTGAAATGTGAAAAACTTTAAGCTTAATTATCAATATGTCTAAATGGCATTAGAATAGACAAAGTAGTTTAAGAGTTATATTTTATGGAAACGGTAATTAGATCTAATTATCGTAGCCGTGGATACAGTAATTAAAAAGTTCGAACATTGTTAACAAACCAAACAACAAAAACTAAAATTATGAAGAACAACTAACAACATATTAAATAACATTGATTTTAATTTTCTTGACTTTTTGTAATGAATTACACCTATAATATATATTTTTAACTTTGAAGGTTTTTATCGGCAAAAATAATTAAAATGTAAATTATTACACTGTTCTTGTAACAGCTGTGATTAATCATAATTAAGAAAGAATTGGAGAATTGGAGAGAATTTAGACATATTGATAGTTAAGCATAAAGTTGTTCATATTTCAATGTTATTGGGTACATTACAGTACAATAGCTACGGTAGGCTGAGGACACCGAAATGGCTACGGTAATAGGCTGAGAACACCGAATGTGAGAATGGCCGAAGTAAGGTGGCAGTACTTTCCTGGACGAACTCTTTCACAAGGAGCTTTGCTACTAAAAATAATAATAAAATATACATAATTGAGTTCATGTAGTTCGTGACCTTCACGTGATAAAAGCATTTTTACCGATTGCATTATTATGTCTATATGCCATTGACTTACAATTATATGGACGACGGGTCTAATACAAAAACCATGAAAAAATGTGCCAAGTCAACCTATTTAAACGTAGTGACATGTAAAGGAATATGAATAAGCTAAGACGTTGAATTTAAATTGTAATGTCATCGCAGTACTGTCTAATTTTGCTTGCTTCGCTGTCAGTCGAACAAACGAAGACTAAAGCGTGAATGACGCTCTGTATACGATTTTAACGCCCTATAAGTTCGGACATTTTTTAGCGCGGACCCGACGTCCATATAATTGTAAGTCAATGGTCTATACTAACAAAATGATACTAAGGGTCGTATTCCAGAACTCTACTCAATGCTCAAGTCAGAATTCGAGCAGACTTGAGTATGATTTCAAACACTGGAGTGGCAAAACTTGAGTATGATTTTCAGTGCTCACTGCAATACTCAAGTCCTGACTTGAGTATTGAGTAGAATTCAGGAATACGACCCTAAAAGCCGTTACAAACGGCTACTTTCAGCAGAGATGCAAACGCGATGCAGTCGTTAATTGACTACCTTTACACACGCGCGCGATTTTAAGCAGCGATGCAAACACGATGCAACTGCAGCTGCGATTGCATCGATATGAACGCGCGATTGCATCAATACAAACGCGATGCAATCGCCTATAAATCCTCGATCGATGCATTCGTGAGTTTGTATCGATCCAGTCGCGCGCGTGCATTGATGCAATCGCCTATAAATCGGATGTGTAGCAACGTAATCGCGCGTCGCCGTATGTAACCACTCTTAACTGTCGATCAATATTAACTGACTGCATTCTCCGACTGACACTGAACCAAGCCTACTAGCCTCCGTTAAGGAAATAATAATAATACCATAATAATTGAGGCTATTAGTGGTGTAGGTTACAGCGGAAAAGTGGTGTTGTTTTCATGTATAAATAAAATTGTATAATTATATATGATATTCTATATAAATATAAGTAAAATTGTATAATTAAATATGATAATCTATATGAATATAAATAAAATTGTATAATTATACATGATAATCTATATAAATATAAATAAAATTGTATGATTATATATGATAATCTATATAAATATAAATAAAATCGTATAATTATACATGATAATCTTAGTGCAGAGTACTAAAAAAACCGCCGTCAACCTAGTTTACCACGTTGAGGTGGAATATTTTCTTCAAATTTAAATGAGACCACTCCTGAGGTACCCTCTTTCCAAAAAAAAAAGAATCGCGTTACATACATACAAAAATACATACAATCGAATTGAGAACCTAGTCCTTTGAAGTCGGTTAAAAATAGCATCCAAAAATAATGATATCCTTCAGTGTCACATTTAAAGTAATATTGTATATAATAATTATGTGGATTACACTTTTGAGCTGATAATCTTAATTAAATGAGACGGAAAAAATCTACATTCTACTAAAGAAAACCCTGTGTAGTTTGAATCGCGAATAATTTACGTCGCTTATTACACGATGATCGATACCGATTACAAATTCAAATACAATTGTGTTTAACTTGCATGAAAGAGACATGATTATAAATGTATACCAGAATCTATTTAGCAGCAGTGAAGCTCCGTGTGAAAGAGTACGTCCAGGAAAGTACTGCCAAGCAGTAATGTGAGCATTACTGAGTTTCGGTTTTGAAGGGTAAGGGTGCTGGTGAAATTACAGGCAGATGGGACTTGTCAACTTATATTTTAGGGTGACGAGCGCAGTAGCAGTCTGATCTTTGCGATTTATTTTGCTTGCAACAATTTAAAGACCCAAAAATTCACCATATTCACCTTCTACTGTAAATTTGATAAAATACTCTATATTTAGCTTCTAGTGAAAACTACTTGAACACAAGAGTAATGGGGGAGCCTTTACTGTCAATATTAATTAATTTATTTGATTATACATACATACGATAATTAATCGCATAACCAACGACTTCAATGATATCTGCCTGCGATTTTAGCAAAATCAGTAAAGGAAAACGTCGTGTTAAAAACTACATGTAACAGAAGGTTCAATTCCTTGTAAAACTTGTAAAATGTTCCACCCGGTAAGAAAACCGCGGCGTACTCGTGTGGAATTTTCCTTATACACATTTAAAAATCTACATTATCCACCATATTAAAATGAATACAAAATATATATTTTTTTATTATAAAATTTCTTCAAAGATGCGATCACTCTGGATTATAAGCAGCTGTTTCTCATGGTAGTTGGCGGGTTAGGCGATCGATTCGTCATAGGGTTGAATTGCCTACATCAGTCACTGGAAGACAATTCCAAATTGTTATTCCAGATATATGTCATTCCAGTTGTCTGGAGGATGAAACCCAAATAAATTCCTTTAAACAAATTCTTCATCACCAATAAGTAACACAAATTTTTTGTAATAAACACGTGTAGAACAACTACAAAACAGCATACGAGTACAACTCAACGTATTATAAACCATCAAATAATTAAACAATTTATCAATGATAAATTTATCAAATTGTAGTGAAATAAAATGTAGCCCACAGTGAAACTAAAAAGAACTTACCATTTGAAATACATCGGTTGTAATAGTATGGTAAAAAGAATCACGTTATGATACGAAAGCTGTGACAAGAATGGTGGAAGATAATGAAAGCGATGTGGAGATCGACGAAGGAGGGCGGTGCGGTCTATGGCGACGTTTGGGATGCATGCGGGGAGCATGCGCCCGGCTGTGTCGGCGTCGGCTGCGCCTGCGGCGCGTGGCACCAGAGAATGCTATCGCCAATGGGAAACCTCCCAGGTAAGCATAATGTATATGATACGTTGAAGCAACGTGACATCTTTATTTTGTCGCTGACTTGCGTATTGAAGGAAATGTTGAGTAGACGTAAGAATGTTGAGAAGATAACAAAAATCGGTGCTCACTGCTTAAAGTACATTGAGGTAAAGAACGCCTTACAATTTAAGTATATAACAAAAAATTGCTCTTTACAAAATTTTGACGGTATATTAGTCATGAAAGAAGTTTCCATACGTGAACAACTTCTAAATGAATCATGAACGAATAAAGAAACTCTTTAACAGTATAAGCGGGTTTGCGCCCTGCATCCGATTTCTATTAATTCCGAATCCGAGATTTTACAAATCTCGAAAACTCGGACCCACCACGGATGTCGCTTGTGCACTAAGACCGATTCGAATCCGAGAAAATACGAGATAAAATAATCTGACATTTCGAACCGTCAATTGTCGGAATTGGGGGTCTACTTTCGATCTCCGTCCGAAACAATTGCTGCCAAATAGGCAATACTTGATCAAACGAAAAAACGCGTGATGCAAATGAAGCTTCATACTGGATACTTGTCTTTTAATTTTGTCGAATATTACTTATTTGACAGTAATTGTTTCGGACGGATGTCAGACGGATATCGAGAGTAGACCCCCTGATACGAGTCGGACGTGGTGTGTAAGCGCTATAAAAGAGAGTCCTATTTAACTATATGTCGCTAAGTAGATGTCATCCCTACTACCTTACAGCACGAACAACCTAATATGACAATAAGAATAACAATTTCTCTCTATACCGAGAGAATGACTGTCTCCAGCTACTTGGAATGGACCTGTCGTTCAATTTGAACTTCGCAGATACATTGAATCCATGGCCAAAAATGCAGTAGTTAGTACTTAGTACTTTCTAGGGTGAAGCGTTACTTCATACCGGGACAGTTACTTCAGCTTACCAAGCACAAGTCCGGTCGTGCATGGAGTACTTCTGCCACGTAAAGTTGCCTGCTTGTCGGTATTTTACTTATATATCGCGGAGAAATTACATCATTTAATTCCGCCTTCTCCTTTCCATCACCGGGGGACTATGCGTAAGCTTGGGTTCCACCCCTATGTTGTGGATTTTCCAAAGATTCGCACGAAGCGTTACGCTTCCACCTTTATATGGCGAACTGCTATACAATGGAATTCCCTGTATGCAGATTAGTTCCTTGAACGTTATAACTTGGGCAGTGAATAGACATTATTTAGGTGTGCATGCTTCATCGGCGACCCTATCGCCACTTTCCATCAGATGAGATGGAGGACAAACGCGCGCTTACATTTTATTTAAAAAAAAATAAGATGAAGATTAAAGATAAGTAAATAAAAGGAATAAAAGCTGGACGGTAATGAGTATGTCTGTAAAAGGACGTGGTTTAATATACCACACCTTCGATGAAACAGTGGCTCAACCTAAGTTTTGTAAAATTTACAAAAAACGAGTTGAGTTTTGTTTTTTTTGGTTTTGAGCACATTTGCTCTTAAATGTTCTATTATTTTAATGACATAAATCTAAATATAAAATATAAATAATTTAGATTTTTGTGATTTCAATAAACGCGTATTGTCTTTGAAGTGGTTATTATTATTTAGTAGCTGTAGAACCTCCTTGTGAAAGGTTCGTCCACGAAAGTATTGCCACCTCACACTATTTCTGCCGCCAAGTAGTAATGTGAGCATTATTGCGTTCCGGTTTTGTAGAGTAGGGGTGCTGGTGAAATTACAGGGACTTGTCAACTTATGTCTCAGGGTGACAGGTGCAGGGCAGTGCCCTTCCAATCTTTGCGTTTTGAAGCTCTGAGTAGCACTGCTACTGTTATGGACAGGCGTGTCATTTACCATCAGGCTCACGACTTGTTCGTCACGTCACTTGATGTTATAAAGAAAAATCCTTAATGGCAGCCACTAGGCTTGGGCCTGTATCAATTTTGATGTATGTCGTCAGTTAATATTGATCAAGTACGCCAACGTCTAGGCAGTAGCAAGGTATTTATATTTGGAAGGACTGTTGTGGAGATAGACAAACAACATACAGAGCAGAATACAAAGATTTAAATCGGTAGACAAGAACATTCCCAGCGAGTTTCCTACTAGAGATCGAATGCCGTTTGATCTAACATTAATTGCTCGAAAACGTTTGTTCGATTGTCCATTTGACCTATGAATCATGAGCTATAAGGTTTGCTACATCGATCTCAAAATCTCGAAAGAACATTTGCCGTTAAGGCTCAACGGTCAAAACGTAACTTCTCAAAAAATTTTGTTATATGTCGTATTTTGTATTTTTTTTTATATTTCAATGTGTGAACAAGAGTTTCCGTCTACTTTTTCGTCACACAGGATTTCGTGATCGTAACAGATGCGTGTGACAATACCACTAGTGTGCACGGTTTTTGTCACGCTGACTAATGACACGACGTAATGCCAAGCAGCGGTCCACGCGTCGGAGCCTTTGGGACGGCACGTACATTTTACCGTGCACTTATGGCGTGACAAGAAAGTAGAATACTGTGAACCATTATAACAAGCAGACTAGCAAGTGTGAATGGTGATTTTGTACTATCATGCTAATATGTCACAGTCACGACCCGATCCCTAAGGAAGGCAATAAAATCGACATTTAGCGTAGCAAGTACCGTGACACGTCATGGAGTCTTAGTGCGTTGAAATGTCACAAATGTGGAATCACCTTTAATTACATTCGTCAAGGCACCTTTTCACAGACGCTCATAGCACGCAGCGTAGCTCTACGCGTGGTTATTACTACGAATAGCCACCCCTCTCTCCTATTATGCGTTGATAATATGGTGGTAATTCTAATGTACTTTCTGATATACTTTAGTTGAAATGCATAGTAGTTGCCCCCTGTCGTGACCGCTTGCATTTATTATCGGCGCCGGAAGCCGTCATAGTGCCGCACGAACCAATGTTCGTCCGCAGTTATACGAATAAAAAAAATAATTATACATTTCATAACTTTAATTTGAAGGCTTATTTCCCTAAGGCTTAACTCTGGGTACGTCGATAAGTTTTTGTTGTGGTATGGATGTGTATAAATCGCTACTAGGTATTGTGCAGGTCAGTAATTTAAACTTTTATTCAGGAAGTAAAAACTTGAACTAAAATTTTAAAGCCCAGGTACTAAAGTTTGAAAAACAAAGCATTTTTGGTTCTACCCCGGCCCCGTACTAATTACAGGCAAAATGGTTTATGTAGCATGCAAGCAATAATTTTAACATTCTACGTAATTCTTTTGACCTGGATCTTTTGAATACTTTTACATATGATGCCTAGTGACAATACAAACAAGTCGTGCGCCTGGTGGTACGCTACACGCCTATCCATTGCAATTGCAGTGTCAATTAGAACTTTAAATCGCAAAGATCTGAGAGGCACTGCCACCACCAGAGATGGCAGAACTTTCCTGAACGAATTCTTTTACAAGGAGCTCTACTACTAAAAACCGGGAAAAGAGCTCCATTGTTCATGAAACATATCTACAAACCATTACGTTTAAATTAGCCTCCAATCAAAGAAACCGCTCTAAAATCAGTAGAGCCGTTGGAGGGTTACGATGCGACAGATAGATATATAGACAAAGGCTTCAAACTTATACTTATACTCGGAGTTAATTTGCTGAAGTCCATGTTAATAAAAATAGAAATAGAAATTATTCCGGGTATATTTTTGAGGGTGGGAAATGTATTAACTGCATGAAAAAATATTCAATAAAAACATACAATCACAATCACCGGATTCGCGGACAAGCCAATTAATTTACTTCCATTTTTATAAACAATTAAGTTACATTAGAACGTATTCACTAAATATGATTGAGTCCCCATGTGCGAGCGGTTCTAGTTTCTAATTACCGTCTCTTTAGTCAGAAGTAGGTATACTAATTAACCTATAAATAGCCAGTGAGCCATACACTTCGCACCCGTAGTGTAATAAGGCCACATCTGTAAAATGACCGATTTCAAAAGATTTAAAGATACTACGATCGAAATCAGTCGATGCTTTTTATGCTCAAATAGAAGAGTTATAATATTTCACAAATATATAATTTGTTTCGTATAGTCCGTATTATTTTTATAACTTTTATGTGATAAAAGCACTTTTGACGTATGGTTAAATGTCGGTTTATTAAACCTAGGATATGATATAGTTTGTTAGTTCTTCTATTGTTAGTGTACTATTTATTTTCATAATGCCATAATTAATAAACAACGACAGATTACTATTAATAGTACTGACTGAAACAGAAAGTATTTTTAACTCAAAGAATTATGAATCGAGGGAAGGGAAGTGTAGAATATTAAAGCTAATCGTATGAATATCTGAGTAACGTTGTTGTTGGCCAGCCAGGTAGGTGAATGATTTACGCCTTCATGTTCTGATGAATTGATCTATATTTTAGGTATACTATTTATTGAATAATTTGTTGATTGTTAAACAGGTTATTAAAGACAAAGAGACTACTTCTTTCAACTCAGCCAATCGCAGAGCCAGCTTTACAAAGAAAGTTGCAACCTTCGTTTAATATGGCCTCATCTGTAAAATAAGTTTTCAGGCTTCTTTCGCTTCAGCCAATCACAGAACAGGAACGAGTGCCTTTATAAAGCTGGTAAAGTCGCAACCTTCACGTAATAAGACCACATCTGCAAAATAACAACTCTTTAGGAGGGAGGTTTAAATGGAGAGTTATAAAATTTCACATATAGGTACATAATTTATTGATTTGTTTCGCGAAACAGGTTGTTAAATACAAAATGACAGCTTCTTTCGATTCAGCCAATCACAGAGCTGGAACAAGTGCCTTTACAAAGATGGTAAGGTAGCAACCTTCGTGTACTTAATTAGGCCACATCTGCAATACGATAATCATGAATAGTTATAGTATAGTAGTATTATACAATTTCACATATACGTAATTTGCTTCATGTAGTTCAGCCTTACTCGCGAGAGATGATG